TTAAAGATTAAATGTATAGATCAAAGGAACAGAATTGGGAGTTCAGAACTAAACACATATATTTAAGGGCGGCAACTGATTTTTGATAAGGATGCCAAGACAATTCCATGGGGAATTGGTCATATCTTCTGAGAATTTATCTGAATCTAATCAGCATTGAAAGTTTACTCAACCCTGGCTCCCTTTTCCATGGCTAGAACTTTTTTTTCCAGAGTTCTCCACTTCCTTAGGTGGCAAATGTATTCAGGTCAATGCACTCTGTACCCTCAAGTTACTGTAGATAAACTGTGTACTTTTTAGCAATAACTTTTAGAGAAGAATGTCTTTACCTTCTTTGCAATAGAGAGTACCAGGTAAGAAGAAGCACTGTTGAGAATGATTCTTTGAATTATAAAACAGACAATACGAATGGTGCTTCGGCCACTTGTCAATTTCTTGTATCTCACCATCGAACCTATGCTTTCTGCCTTCCTTTGTGATTCTCGAGCAGGACTCTATAAAACACCTCTCCAGCTGGCACAATATTTATAAAGGGTGCAAAAAGAGACACTGTAAGAGAAAGGGAATTTTCTTCCTGGGCCCGGTGCTTCTTCTCGCTGCTCTCATGCTGCGGCTGCCAGCAGTCAGCATCCTCACCTGTGGGCACCTGACCAGCCTGTGAGTGTGACTGGGGCGGCAGACTCCTCCAGCGGACTCACTGCCATCCATAAGGATAGCTTTCCTGCACGCTTCCCTTGCATTATACAGAGCACCCCCTTTCAAACGTTTCAGTATACAAGCAGGTGTTTTGCTCACTTCCCACATTAATACTTTCCTCACTGATTTTCACAGCTATATAATGCTCTGCTGTATGATTATGTGCAATTTATCCATTTCATTCTCTTGTGAATGAACATTTTAGCTTATTTCCAATGTTTCTCCATTACAAAAGAAGTTTTGATAAATGTCTTTTGACATATATTATAGTACCCACACAATTCTTGCATCTCATATACTTTCATATGGTAAATGGATATGATATTCACATAGTATACATGTGTGTATGTGCACATTTGTTTTTGTGCTTTTATTTAATTCCATTGCTATATTTTTCTATATGCAAATAAATTGTATCATGTTATCTATTTTACTATGACTTCACAATAGGTCTTGAAATCTGTAAGACCATTTTTTCACTTTACTTTTCTAAAAATTATGCATAATTCTGACCTTTAATCTATCATGTGAATTTTAGAATCCACATTGCATGAAAGTTTTTGCAATTTTAATAGAAACGTTGAATTTCTAAAATAATTTGGAGAAAACTGACATTATAACAACACTGACTCTTTTCCTTCATAAATACAGTATATTTCTTTATTCAGATCCCAGGAGTAAACCTTCAAAAACATTCTATAATAGTCTTCATGTCTTGCACATCTTTTGTTAGATTTATCTTCAAGTATAAAGATTATGGATGGAAAAGCACTATAGCATCCAAACAACTGGCTTATAAACTTTTAATCCCAATGGATTAGTAAACAGGGAAATGTTTCTGAATGCTGTATTATAATCTGTGATGTGTCTTGTTTGCCCCAGTCAGATCTCCATGGACTCTTCCTGCTCTGTGACCGGAAGGCTGAATTCTATGTATGAGCATCACCTGGGTCCCCAGTCCCGTTGGCTTCCAGCAGGGATTAACCATGGAGAGGCACCAGTAGGAAATATGAGAGACAGCAGGAGGAGTGAGAGTATAGGATTTCTTTCCCAATACTCCCTGTGTCCCAACTTTCTGACAGTGTCTGAATTTCTCCAGAGCTCAGCATCTGCCAGGAAGCTACCATTCCAAGCCCCCAGCTCACATTCCGACAGTAACGTTCAGTTTCTTTGAGCCGTCAGTCCTAGGAACAGCAATGGCTATCTACTGCTACTAATCCTTAAAGGCCTCCTCATCCCAACCAGCTCCTCCCTTCACCTTGCCCACACCTCAGCAAATGCTCTCTTTTTAAGTTTTCTTCGGGTGACTATCTTGAGCACGCCATCTGTTCCGTTTGGATCCTGACTACTCTGATTCTACATTACCAAAATCAAAATTTAGCTAAACAGTCTAGGTCTTCCTTAAGTAGTCTGGTTTTTCCACTTACTTTTTATTTTGCTGATTTTCAACTACTTGTCTATTGGAAGGGATGTTGTAAACCTCATATAATCCACATTTAACCAATCCCATCAAATGACCAGACTCTATGAACCTATGGTAGGACTGTATCGTCAACTGAAACTCAGAATGCCTTATTTTATGTTTTTACTAATTTAAAAACGAAATGAGCAACTGTAAAAGACTTGTAGTTATTTAAAATACCTAACTTAAGAACTCAGACTGCTATTTCTGAAAACAACCACATTACTCTCAACCTTCCACTAATGAGATGAATATGCTAAAATCTCCTTCAGCAAATATGAATTACCACCTGCTTACTTTTTTCAAACTAAATGAATACATAAGTAAATGTCACATAAAATGGCATTTCCAAAGTTTAATTCATTCCATTTGTTTTAGTTTGAAACATAAAGCCTTTCATCTTTTCAAAAGGAAAACTACACTCAAAATTAGCATAAATGAGAGCATCAAGAGTTTTAAAATTATAGATCAACTAAAACAGTGAGAGAGGGTCCTCTGCTGTTTAAAAATAGTAAATAATCCTAGACGGGCTTTGGCTCATTCTTCCAAGATCCTACTGACTTTTTAAATAATATATGTCCTTTGGGAGGAGTGAGGAAGGGAAAATGGGTGTCATTTCTAAACAATATATTAAGATAAAGCAACACTTAAAATATCACTGCCAGCAGATTTACAGTGGATGCTTTTTAGCTGTAAATTGGTCAATTAGGGGCTTTGCAAAGTAACAGCTATCCAGAAATGCTATTGCAAATACAATAAATGTAAATTTCAACATCATGGAATATGATTCAAGGTCAGGCCAAAGACTAAAGTGGGCATCGAGCAAGTTGCTGAATGTATATCGATGGTGTCAATGACAAATTTTTAAAAAGGAATTTGATTATAATACCACATAGAAAAAATCAGCACAGTTGATTAATCTAATTACTGATTTTCAGTAATCTCAATTTTCTTTTTTGTTTGTTCATTTGTTCTTTTACTACTAATTACTAATGGTGAGTGATTTTTTTAAATAAATGAAGCTCTTCATTTATTACACATTTCAATATAATGCTGAAAACAAATTTTCTTGATCAGTTAGGCATTGACTACTTATTTAATTAATTGATAACATTTTCTGTTAATAATCTACAACCCAAATGGATAGGGGAATAAATCACCTTTTAACACCATTTCCATGATAAATGCTAAGACAGAAAACAATTGTGAAGCATTGAAAAAAAAGTTACACTTTAGTGTCGAAAGACAGAAGCTAAGCAAAATTTGCAGGCTTAAACTATTCAGTACCCGGATATTAAAGGGGCCTTTTCCATATTCATCTTATAGCACAGGCGGCAAACACAAGGCCTATGGGCTGAACCCCGCCTGGCACCTTGTTTCTACCCAGCACCAGCGCCAAGCTCCTTGCCTCTAGTTAAGTAGTTACATTTATACAGTCCCAAAATTACTTTCGGCCTTTTGAAGGCAACCAGAAGACTGATGTGGCCCCGGGTGAAAGAGTTTGACACCCCAGTCTTATAGAGTCATTTTCTAGCTAGCCAGAATAACACCTAGGCTTAATGCTGTCCCATTTGTTCTGGTATTAAAAAGTTTGACCATTATTTTGTATTTCTTTGGTTTACCATTCCTCTTAAGTTCAATACAGAAAGAATTCTGAAGTGTAGCTATTGCAACGTGCATCTTTTATTACCTGCCATGGGGATATTTTCTTAAGAAAAAATTCCACTTTCTAAACCCTTTCACACATTGGCATGGTATGGTATAGTATGGTATCTTACTCGAACTTCACAACAACCTTAGAAAGGAGGAAACATTACTCTGACTTTCCCCTCTACAGAGAAGGCTTAGAAAGATGAAATGATTTGCCCAGAGTAGCAGGACTAGAAAAGGGCTTGGATCCCAACCCAGAACCCAAACCCACTGTGACTCCCTATCCAGCTTCCCCGGCCCAAACACAACCGCCATTAAGCAACCTGGGAACTCTTCGGCTGTAGTTTAAACTGCCGGCCCACCGCTCTACTGATAGTTTCGTTGTTCTGAAAACACCAGGGACGAACGGTAGGTAAGGAAACACGAACGCGGAGAGCACTCAAGTACCCTCGATCATAACTGGGGTGAAGGAGAGCTCCTCGGGTAGTCTAAAGGACCCGGGCGCCAACGTTTGAAATGCGAGGAACCTTCCCGGCAGGGTGAGCCTGGGGGCGGGCCGCCCTCTCACCTGCTCGCTGCTCATGGCTGCGAGGGCGCGCTGGCGGCACCCAGCGCCTAGCAGTTCGCTGCTGCGTGGCGCCCCCGAGACTTCTCGGACCAGAAATGAGACCCCCGAGAAACCAGGCCTGCAGTCTCTGCTCTTTCCGCGCAGGGAGCTGTTTAGCGTCCCGGCAACGCTGTTGCTAAGCAACGGGCCGGCGCGGGTTCCATTTCCGGTCATCCGTAGCTGGCGGGAGAGCACCCGGAAACTGGTAGTGGGTCCCGCGGGAGCTTTCCAAGATCTCTCAGCGGCGTTCTGAGCTAGGGACCCCTTTGAGACTCGTTAACATACAAACGACATTGAAATGCAGGAGTACGGATGAGATGGCTCAGGGAGTGTGTAGAACAAGACCATATTTAAGAAATGGACGGGAGGCGACTATGCAAAGAGAACTGCAAAAAAATGGCCAGAGATAATTGAAAACTAAGAGTGTAGTGAATCCCCCTTTGACGGAATGGATAGGTTTCTTGGAAACTGTAGCTTTAAGCAAAACGATGTACCAAGAAATCAGTTTTACTGTGGGCTAATTGAAGCTGGAATGCGGAAAAACTGAAAATCCTCGCAGAAACAGCCTTCGGGGACAGTCAAATTTCAGTGAAATCCTGGAGGTGGGGTAGGGTTCGGAGCACTGGCGAAGACGTAGAGTGCTTTCATGGCCCGGGGCAGAGTGAAGAGATCTGAAAGCCAGCAGAGTGTACTAGAAGGTTGAGTCAGCCAAGAAGCAGCGAAAAGCACTTAGGACATGTGAGAAGCAGAAAAAATTGCCTCAAGAGCTTACACCACATGCAATAACCAGGAGACATGAAGACCTGATTGGTTAAAGTGGCTGTCAATGTGTTGCCAAAGGAACTAGTCCCAGCAGTTCCCAGGTGTTCAGAAGGCATTTCGGGTTCTTGGCTGAAATCCAACACGAACTGGCTTGCTTCACAGAGGGTATGAGTCCACAGGAGCAGGCCAACCAGGGGTAGAAAGATTCACAGCAACAGCCCAGGCAGAGATCAGCCTGAAAAAGTCAGCCCTGCCCCTCTGCCCTGCCCCACCAGCCAACTTTCCTTCTTTAGTCTGCTGTGTCTCTAATTGAATTTTTTTTTTAACGATCAGGGTATTCTGACTTCCTGCGTTGTCTCTGCTAAACCTCCATCTCAAGCTCCCCTGGGGATCGAGTTCTTATTGGCAGAATCCTGTGTCAAAATTTGTCTGCTGTAGGGCACTTTGCCAACATTTTGAAATGTAAAAACAATTTGATAAAAATTGGCAAAGAATTCTTTTGTATTTGGCACTTATTGCGATCCCTGTCAGCAAGAGAAATGTGGCTCCTGGGACTTAATTCCCATAGTAATTCTGACAGTAATCAATGTCACCAACCAGGCTGAGGCTGAGATATAATTCCTGTCCTCACTATTAAGGTTAAGGTCAGCTCAAAGCCCTGACAAGAAGATATATGTATATATAAATAAATAAAATACAATTATATATATATCAAATGTTATTTCTAGTACATATATATAATGTTAGAAATAAATTTTAGGTCACATGTGGTAGACTCCTGGATCCCTCAAATTAAAGAAAGACATGTTACTTGTCTCACTGATGATTCTCTTAGTGTTTAATTTGGGTGGAGCTATCTGTATGCTTTTGACTGCTAACCTACCTACAAATAAGGAAGTCCATTTTAAGAGAAGGTGTCTGGGAACAGAAACTTGTTACCTCAGTTAACCAAATATGAAAGACCAAATGGAGAACAGAAATTGAGGTGTCGATATTTTGGTTTCCCGGATGTCAAGTTCAGTGGTATTTATGATCTTGTGTTTCTCTCGTGGTTTGGGGTGTTTTTTGCGAAGATGATTAGACATGAACCAAATGCTTGCTTAAGGATTTTATGTCCAAATTTGTGCTGATTCTTAGGGAATCTTTTATGAGAAGATATTTTCATTTAAAATGTGTAAGCTTATGCAGCTGCTGAGCTATGGCTTATGATGTTATTTGTTACTACTTAATTTCTACCTCCTGCTTTGGAAACTTTAGCATGTGTGGAAGGAAGGAGCACTGGTAAGAGTTAGAAGTGCTCCTTTTGAGGCAACATGGCAGCTTTTTTCCCCCATCACCATGTATCGGTCTTGTACCCTCTTCCACTCCCACCCATCCCCTCTCCTACCCCCATCCCACCCCCAGCACCCCACCCCGCCCACCCCAGCAATAGCCACACTGTTGTCCACGAGTCCTACTGTTGTGGGGCATGGTATGGTGCTGAGAAAAATCTATCGTAAAACCTAAAGCACAATCCAGACTGGAATTCTTTCCTCTGCCCATTCTTTTCTCTTCTGAAAACATACTCCAAAGATGAGGAAAACACTTGTCTTCATCTTCCTCATTTTGTTCAACCAACGAATATTTCTTGAGTGCCTGCTTCAGCCCAGGTGCTGTTGTTCTTGGCCTAGGGGATAAAGGTGCAGCCAAGATCCCAGCTCCTGAGAGGGAAACAAAATTAGCAAGAAAGCAATACTATATGAATAATAGTAAATACATTATGTATTTCAGATGGAGAAAAAGACAAGAAAATAAAACAGGGTATTGGAGATATTGTATTCGAGGGAAAGTCTCTTTGAGGAAGAGGCATTTGAGATAAAACTTGAATGACAAAAAAGGAGCTAGGCCTTTAAAGATGTTATGAACGGGTTTCCCAAGAAGTGGGCGAGCTAGTGGGAAGGTTTAAATCTGAGCGTGAGCTTGACGTGTACAAGGGCCTGGAGGACGCAAGGAACGTGGTGAGGAAGGATTTTATTTTAATAAGGTGGGGAAACCATGAATTGAAATGAGCCACAGGGGAAGCAGGAAGGTCAAGTAAGAGCCTATTGCTTACTTTACTTAGCGCGATAATCCGGGCTGTCGCCAAAGGTAAGGTTTCCATTCTTTTTTTTACAACCAAGTAGCATTCCACTGTGTAAATGTACCACAGCTTTTTAATCTTCTCCTCTTCTGATGGGCACTTGGGCTGTTTCCAGATTTTGGTGAATCTAATGGAAAAAATAAACTGATGAACAAAATAGAAACAAAGGCATGGACACAAGGAACAGACTGACAGCTCCAGAGGCGAAGGGAAAGGGGCACTTGGATGAAAAAAGTGAAGGGGTTAAGTGAAAAAGAAACCCATGTATATAACACATAGACACAGACAACAGTGTGATGATGACGGCAAGAGGGAAAGGGGGCTGGGGAGGGTAGGTGGAGGTGGCAAAGGGTGGGTGGCAGGGGACAGGAAAAGACTTTGCTAGGGGTAAGGGGCACACGATACAGTGTGCAGATGATGTTTTATTGACCTGTACACTTGAAACCTGTGTGCTTTTGTGAACCGATGTCAACCTAATAAAGTCAATAAAAAATAATAATAACATAAACTTCCCACTCACCCTTCAAAGAAAAAAGAAGACCCTATTGGAGTAGGTCAGGGAAGTAACAACCAGGGCTTGAACTTGGGGGAAGTAATGCAGATGGAGCAAAAGGGACAAATCAGGGATATATCTCAGAGTAAAACCTGATAGGACTTGCCGATGGACTAAATGTAAGGAATAAGAATGAGTTAAAAAGATTGTTAGGGGTTTTTTTTGCTGAGCTACTTGGTAGATGCTAGAAATTTTAAGGTGAGGAACTTGAGGTGGGGTGGGGAAGACACATGCTGAAAGGTACAGGAAAAAAGTGGTCTTCAGACACCTCGTTTGAGATGCCAATTAGAGACCCACGTGAGATGTGGAGGAGGCAGGGAGCCACGCAGCTCGAGGGCAGCTCTGGGAAGGGTGTAGGTTTAGAAGTTCATCTGTAGATAGATGCTAACCGAAGCCATGAGCTTAGATGAAATCATCATGGGACAGAGAGAGTAACTGGAAACAGAAAGAAAGGTGTTCCGGGGATCGAGCCCCAAGGATCCCTTTTCTCTTTCTGGACACTTAAAAGTTAGAAGTTACATATTTTTCCAACCCTTTAACAAAGAGTTATAGGAGTACAAAGTTAGAGTTACAACAGATACCTTAGATTCTAGAAACTTACGAAATGTGGTTGACAATTCATGCATGTGGTATTTGTTTGTGAAAATACTGAGCTATATATGGACCAATTCCCACAAAAACAAAAAACAGTGCTGCTTTATTACTGCGCATTGACCTTCCACTAATCACAACCAGATCTGGAAAAATACAAATGATTGCATTTGGTTTCTTAGAACACTAGAGGGAGATATATTCACCTGCAAGTCAGAGAGAAAAACCTTGGGGTTTGGTTTTTTTTTTTTTCCTCTATAGAACAGTTCAGTTACCATGGAATCATAGAATATCTTAAATTTTGATATTTTTGCAATAATTAAGAAGTTATTTATGTATTAAGCTCAAATAGATTACACATGCTTGGAAAGTAACCCAAGTTCTTTGTTAAACCAGGTTTTACTAAAAGGCTATTTTGTATGCCATATTTTCACATGATACCTTAGTCATTTTTCTCTTGTGCAGTGCAAAGCAATAATATAAAAGCCAGTTAATTTTTATTTGAAGAAATATGCAAGTAACCCAAGGAATTCTGGTAATATGCTCACTGTAAGCCAAAGTGTCAAAAGTGTTGACTCTCGACCTTCTGTCTAAAGACTTCGGGAATGTGCTGTATTTCACATCACACTGTGTTTTTCAGGTAGCATAAAGGTCATTGGCACTGACTTCATTCTGGACTTTTTATTTGCCCAATAAAATACTCTTTGACTTTGCTAGGTAATCGCATAGATATGTAGTGTTTTCATGATTGCTTGCAGCAGCTAGAAAACTTTCTCTTTATTGACTTTGGTAATCTTTCCAAAGAACATACTGTGAGGCTGTCCTCTTTTCCTGACCAAAGGTTGAAGGAGAGCCCTATCCAGCAGTTCTTAGCCTACCAAATATTTTATTTGACCTTGTAACTAATTTAATAAGTCCTCTTTTCTGTAACTTTAGTGCTGGTAGTTAAAGGAGAAAATGTGTTTTCTGTCTCTAGGGAAGAACATAGCAAAGGAAAAGAGGATTTTTTTCTGGAGTCAGAGCTGGTATGAATCCTGACTTTACATGGATGTTAACTAAACTTAGTGTAATAATCATTTCACAATATGTACATATATCAAGTCATTATGGTGTGCAAAGAAAACTAATACAATGATACACATGAATTCTATCTCAAAAAGAATCCTGACTTGGACTCGACTGGTTGGTGAAGGTAAATAAGTTACCTTGCTAGTCCCTGAACTAGCATTTTCTTTTCTCCAAATTAGAAACATAGCCTTTTAAAATTCTTGTGGGGAATGATTCAGATACTGCATGAGCAACATCCAGTTTAGCTCCTAGTGAAAAGCAGGCATTCTAGGTTCACTAGACCTTCCTCTTTCCTTCCAAGTGAAATGCTTTATAAAATGACCTTATAAAATCACGTGTTCATAGATTACGTGCTCTGAAGTATTTGTCGTGTGCTGGTGATATGTACAGAACATGACCCAGATTCATGTGACCCGGAGTATGGAGTGTCATCAGAACTGTTGCCTTGTGCTCTACCAGACTGGGCCACAGGGAGGACCTCACCAGGGATCTCCTGGTCTGAAACGTGGGCTCGTGGGCAGGGGGAACAGCGAGGGGGCACTGAAGTCTGGTGATGACTGTTACCCCTGAAAAGGATGACCTCCCCTTTCTTTCCACAAGTGCAAATTCCACCTTCCCACCTCCCACGAAGGTCCAGTTCAAATCTTCCTTCCTCCAGGAAACCTTCCCAGCCTGAATAAATTCATCTCTCCTAACACCTAAACAATTCAATCATCTGGCAATCGATGCCTTGCATTCCTGCTTGACCATTTCACTTGCATGTATCTCCCAACCAGACTGATGATGCCTGTGAGGCACAGTTGCTCCTAAGTCGTACACCGTGATGCTTCCCTTTAACACCCGTCACAGCGCTCTATGGGAAGCAGACATCAGTACAGACTTGGGTGTATTCCCACGTCAGTTTTCTTTCCACTTCCTTTGCTCCATGCGGTTTGGCAATAGACTTCACAGGGATACGTGTGCAGATAGGTTTCAAGCATTCTGCTGACAGCCTCTGAAAATTATTTCTTTTCTTTATACTATAGATTCTTAAAAAGAAAGAACTGAAAAGTATACATATGATGCTTGTGTTTGTGCTGTTTACTCTGGTATTCATGCCATGATTTTTGATGAGTAGTCACTCTCAGAACAGATTCATTTCCATGAAGTGATGGTCCTCACTTACAGATATACTATGGCCACGGGAGTGTATGTAAACATTTTCATCACCAGCAAAACATTTCTTCTCTTTAAACCCATTAGTCAATTCTTATTACTGGTCACAAAATGTATGAATGATAATTTGACACCCCTATGCCATGCATAACTCCATTTTTACACACATAGAACTGACACAATGAAGTTTTATCATTATTCATATTTTTTTAATGAAACACACCCACTTATTTCTTGCATAGTGTTTTATATGCTTTTTATAAACACAAGTTTCAACTTCAGGCTACACAAATACATTGTGTTAGATCCCTTTTAGGATGTTTTTGATATTTATAAGTTTAAAGTTTAATGTAATTAATTATGTTAGTGGTGTTCACTTTATTTTTTAAATGATTTTATTGTTGTTCAGTTATAGTTGTCTGTATTTTCTCCCCACCCCTCCCCCCCACCCCCTCCAAACCCACCTCCCTCCCTTGCTTTCACCTCCCTTTTGGTTTTGTCCACATGTCCTTTACAGTAGTTCCTGAAAACCCTTCTCCCCACTGTCCCCTCTGGCTACTGTTGGATTGTTCTTAATTTCAATGACTCTGGTTATATTTTGTTTGCTTTTTTCTTTTGTTGATTATGTTCCAGTTAAAGGTGAGATCATATGGTATTTGTCCCTCACCACCTGGCTTATTTCACTTAGCATAATGCTCTCCAATTTCATCCATGCTGTTACAAAAGGTAGGAGCTCCTTCTTTCTCTCTGCTGTATAGAATTTCCTTGTGTAAATGTACCATAGTTTTTTGATCCATTCATTTGCTGATGGGCACTTAGGTTGCTTCCAGCACTTGGCTATTGTAAATTGTGCTGCTATGCACATTGGGGTGCATAGGTTCTTTTGGATTGGTGTTTCAGGGCTCTTAGGGTATAATCCCAGCAGCAGAATTGCTGGGTAAAAAGGTAGTTCCCTTTTTAGTTTTCTGAGGAAATTCCATGCTGTTTTCCACAGTGGCTTCACCAGTCTGCATTCCCACCAACAGTGCGCTAGAGTTTCCCTTTTCTCCACATCCTCTAACAACACTTATTTGTTGATTTATGTTGGCCATTCTGACCAGTGTGAAGTGGTGTCTCATTGTGATTTTAATTTGCATCTTTCTGATGGCTAGTGATGCCAAGAATCTTTTCATGTGCCTCTGGACCCTCTGTATGTCCTCCTTGGATAAGTGTCTGTTCAAGTTTTTTGCACATTTTTTAATTAGGTTTTTTGTCTTCTTGGAGTGGAGTTGTGTGAGTTCTTATTATTTATATTTAAACTGCAGAATAAAGGGGTGGTGAAGCTGGAATGAGAATGTCCTTCAAGGTCATAAAGGGTACAGAATGACAGGTGAAATGGATCACCTGTCCCAAGTGTCAAACCACAACATAGAAAAGTCATAATCCTAAATTTTGACTACTTAGCAGCTCCGTGATAAGACTCACTTGCAGTGTGACCCTTCTTTGGGGTGGTCCTACCTTTCCTTTAAGGAGCACCTGGGCAAGGTCACATGTTCTTCTAGAGGACAATAAAAGAATGCACCTTCGAATACTAATAATAGTTGAAGAAACATTATCTTCAAAAGAGTCTCATGGTAATATATTTTAAAAGAATATTCAGGTAGTAGCAAAAGTTTTTTAAAAGGAAATGCAGAAAAAATGAAAAGAGACTCCTTTCCTTCTGTTTTTAGTCACTCAAAAATCTCTTAGCTGCTAAATTGAATGTTTAATGGACACTTTCT